GCATATGCCTCGGAAGAAAGGGCGGTCGTGCGCACAACCGCTTYCGATGGCGTCGAGGGAGGTGTCGAGTCACGCTCGGCGGCGCCTACTTTCCCTGACGGGGTTTCCCCTTGGTGGGGCAATGTGCAGCATCGTGGATGGTGTTGTTGCACCAAAGGCAGTAACGGTACTTGAGTCCCGTGCGATAAGAATTCGCCGAGAGTCYGTATTGTGCCCAAGGTTCGTCGGCGGCTGATCCGGTGCTCGGTGTAGAGGTGGACTGAGTCTTCGTCTTGTCGCGGTCGTGATATTTGCGCGGCCGGCCACCATCCCGGGCAGCTGCCAACACTTCACCCTCGTTTGGTGTTGCAGCCTCGGTAGAAGTAATGCAAGCCACCTTTGGCTTGGGCTGGGTGCCGCTCGTCGTCGCGGAAGATCGGCCAGCGTTGCGGGTTTCGATATTCGTGAGGATGATCCGTAACGCTGTGCTGAAAAGCTTGTCAGATGTGTCGAGTGTCTCTGCAATCTGCGTCAGCGCGTTTTGCAGAGCTGGACACGAGCGCATGATAAACAAGTGCTTGATGGCGCGAAATGCGAGCGGCAGGTCAGGTGTGAAGGCGAGTCTTTGGAACTCGGTAATCCAGTCCTTACTGAGCAGCGTGTTCTGATGGAGCTTGTTGAGCTTGTCCATCACTTGCAGGTCGGGCGGCTCCACTTGGAATCGCTTGTACCAGGCGGCGGTCAACTCCTGCCAAGTGAGCTTGGTGTGCAGTTCCGACACTGCTACGCCGTGGCTGGTCAAGATGTTGTCCAGCCATGCTTGACACGCACCACCAGATCGGTGGTACAAGCACGGGACATGGTGCATGTCGAGCCTGAGAGTAAACTAGCGCCACCACGGGATCGGTTCCGTCTTTGACTGATCGCAGAAAACTGGAATGTCATCGAGTTTGGGTGGGCGCCGGGAGGATGAGGCGGCGGGCGTCACGGTGGCAGCAGCCTGGACCTGCGTCTCCAACTGCGAGTTCGTTGCTTGCTGCGACGTTCGGAAGTCCTGATGCACACGCTTGATGTTGCTGACGTCATCCTCCAAAACTTGCACACGGGTGGTAAGGTTGGAAGGCCCTGCGGCTGCTACAGCAGTTGGCTGTTTCTCCACCGCCTGCAGTTGTGCGAGCATCTGGTCCACTGTCTGCTGCAGGTGAAGGATTTCCTCCTGCTGCAGAGTGAAGGTGGTCACGAGGTCGTGGGAGACCTGCGCAAGGGCTGACAACCCTTTCTCAGTCTCCGGGGCCCCGTCTGCAGATGCCTCTTCCACCCAATGTGCGGCCTCATCGCCGATCACGGTCTCCTGCGTGAACAGTCGTTCCCGCTGGCGTGACCGGTGTTCGGCTGCCGCCTGCAGGTCTGCCTCTTCTTGACGAAGTCGGTCCTGTTCCTCCTTCTATCGCTTGGCCTCCTCCTCTTGTTCAAGCCGATTACGTTCCTTGGCCGCGGCGGCAGCCCTATCGTTGGCCTCCTGAATGAATGCCGCCAGGCGTTCCTCATAGGCCAGGAGGGATTCTCCCGCCTTCCGGTCCATGGCCTTGGTCTGTGATCGAGTGAGAAGTGTCATGCACTGCTGTGCCCGAAGTCTGAAGAGTCCCCCGAGGGCCAATCTGATGGACTGGCCCGGTACCCGGACTGAGGGGGGGAAGGAACAGGTAGGCAGCGGACAGGTGGGAAGGATCAGATAGATCCAAAATTGAACAATTTCCTAATAAAAAAAGGGAAAAAAATAATAATAATTTTGAATAAAGCAAAATACTAAAAGAAAGACTGTCCAATCCCACTGAGTGCCGAAGGTGATGCAGAAAGCAATTGTGAACCTTCGGTGCTCAAACTGCAGAAAATTAGAAAAGAAGTATCTTTACAAACTCAGAGTAGTAGTAGGTTGCAAAAAAGAAAAAAATGCCGTTTTTTATTTTTTTTTTGGAAAAAAATAACGGAATTTGCAGACCTACGGAGTGAAAGTATAGAGGGACAGTTTCGGAAAAAAAAGAATCACGAAATTATCAAAATGCAGACATTTAACAATTAAGCAAGGTAAAAAAAAATCGGAAAAGGAATTCTCAGAACGAACAAAAAATTCTCGGAAACCAAATTTCGTAGAAAAATAATTTTTCGGAAAAGAATAATAATTTCTCGAAGAATTTCGTCGGAAAAGAAAAAAATATAATTTCTCAGCAAAAAAAAAAAATTCTTGGAAAAAGAAATAATTTCTCGGAAAGAACTTTCTCGGAAAAAAAAATAATTTCTCGAAAAAAAAAAAATCTCGGAAAAAGAAATAATTGCTCGGAAAGAATTTCTCGAAGAGATAAATAATTTCTCGGGGAAAAAAAAAATTCTCGGAAAAAAAAATTCTCGGAAAAAGAAATAATTTCTCTGAAAAAAAAAATTCAAATAATTAATTCCGGAAATTTTCCAAGATTAAATAAACAATTGTCAAATAATCAATCAACCTAATCAATCAATCAATCAATCAATCAATCAATTAATCAATCAATCTCCTGATTGACTGATCAATCAATCGAAGATTGATTGGTGGCAAACCGCCAATCCAATCAATCAATCGATTGATTGGTTGTTCCCAAGATTCATCGTCAATGCTCCGATACCACTTGTAGCATATCAGAAAGTGAAATGCACTCAGAGCCTAGGATCTAGCAATGACGAAAGTGGCAACAACTAGCAGCATAGGTGCAACATCCACGAGATGTCAATGTGCACGGTGCAAAGTATGAACCAACGAGAAATCAACAACACACATTCGTATCATTATCATCATGGGCTGGGAAGCAGCGCAGCTGCAGTCTCCAAAATAGCGCAGCAGCCAAGTTCCTGAACCAGCATAACGCTGGATTTCTCYTGGTACCTTCTGTCCGAACTGGGCAACGGCCCAGCTTAAGTAGCGCTGGGCCAGGACTGAAACCCCACGGCCTGCGTTCTGGACCATGCAGATCGAAATCCGATCCACGGTCCAGATCGCGAAACTGGTTCAGCCCTTGGCCTAAAACGGCCTGCCTGGGTCCCTACCTGGAGACGTCCAGGCCCTGCCCAGGGCTGGCCTGTTCGGYACCTSSTCCAATTCAGGGCCTATGCGAATGCATCGGGCCTGAACGTCGGTCCAGGTCCGAATGGTCCAAAATCTGTCCGAAAACAAAAAAACGGTCCAAACGTTTTTGGAGGCTCAGCCTCTGGGCCTGAATCAGGTCCTGGCCCTAGAACGTGTACCTGGCCACAAAACGGACAACAGCACACACGTTAGAAAAACAACAGCAATTAAATAAATAAAAGAATATAAAAATACTCTAAAGCTGGCGTTTTTCTGATGCAGGCCCAAGTAAAAATGCCATAGGGCCCTCAGGTTGCGGTGATGCGACCTGGGGGCCCTATTCCAACCTCGGGTCCCGTGAGGGGCCCGTGTGTAGGCTCTCAGCATGCAACACGCCCCCCTCCTTACGAAGACAAGCCGGGGCGCGGGCGAAGCTGCTGATCCGATGGCGGAATGTAGCGAGGATGGCGCGGAGCTGAAGAGCTTGGCGTAGTTTTCCCTTTGCTAAGATAGCGTGAGAGAACGGCGGGGGCTGTGGCCTGCAGATCCGAACGCGTCAGCCAACGGTCAGCCTTGTGGCTGCAGTAGGAAAAGGGAAGTAGAAACTTTGTTTCTTTGTTGCCATGGCGCCGGTCGGTGATGATGTAGCCGGCCTCCTGAAATCCGTCCATGGAAGGAGGGTCTTGCGTACGTCGACCGGGAAACTCGTCGGACTCCGCTGAACAAACAGAGCGAGTTTGGAACAGTGGAACACCGTGTGGACGGGCAAGCGAGGTGGCACCGCGATGCGGAATGAAGGGCCCTCGGGATCATCACCAACTGCAGAGCGAATGCGCCAAGGCCCCATCCACTTGGGAAGGAGCTTGCGAGAGATGTCTTGCTCGAGGCTGAACTCCGCGACGGAGACCCAAACCAGATCGCCGGCGCGGAATGGGCAAGGAAGGCGATTGCGGTTGGCTTGACGGCTCATCCGTATTTGCGTCTTCGACATCTGCTCCCGTGCCTTAACAAGAAGCTCTTGCATGCGACGAAGGAACGCAAGATGGTCGTCGCTCTCGGCTGTGCGCGGCAAAGTGGCGTCCAGCGGCGATGAGATGGGTGAACCATGCTCAAACTCGAATGGCGACATCCCGATAGCCGGATGGATCGATGAGTTGTAAGCCAACTCAACGTCTGGCAAGCGCTCAACCCAATCAACCTGGTCGGGACGGATGAGAGTGAGTAAAAGGACTTGAGCGGTCTGATGCGCCCTTTCCGTTTGACCATCGGTTTGCAGGTGGCGAGCCGAACTCGGCTTCAAAGATGAGCCCCATCGCTTGACGAGGGCGACCCAAAAGTCGAAGAAAAAGCGAGTGTCCCGGTCGCAAACGATCTCCTTGGGGTAGCCCTTGGAGTGAATCCAACCGGTGTATAAGACCTCGGCTAACTCCAGTGCCTTTGCGTGATAGCGACAAGGCAAAAACATGGCGTACTTGGTGAGGCGGTCGACGACCGTGAGGATCCCATCAACGCCGGTCTTGTGCTTCGAGAAGGGGCCGGTGATATCCATGCTCAATTGTTCGGCCACTCAGATGATGCTCGGTCCCTCTGCCACCGGCTGTCCCTTGGCCGGTGTCCCCATTGGGGGTTCCCTGAAGGCAATCAAGGCCACCCGATGTCAGATTAGACACAATATTGAATTTACCTGGGCTGGTTAGTCCAATGGTAATACCTCAAGGCCATCGCCCAAAAAAAAAAAAAAAAAACACTTTTGATGTCATTCTTACACCCTGGATGGTCCCGTAAGGGCCACCGTGTAAAAATGGCGGGAAAGTGTTTTGCGGGGTGCAAAATGACGCCGAAAGTGATTTTTGGGCCTGCGGCACCTTTTTTGCCGTTTGGGGGGAAACGGATACAAAGGTTTCGTTGCGGGGAGGTTTTATGACTTTGCCCGTGATAGGCGGGAACTTTTCATGTTTCGAAAGGTGCCAGTCGAATGCATTCAAAAGGCATTTCGAATTGGCCCGTCCCTCCCGCCTCTCACGGTCTGTAACTCGACGGCCTCAGGGGCTCGCCACACAGGCTTTCGAAACGCGCAGAATCGAGACCGTGTCTTCGCCACACAGCCTTTCGAAACCAGTTCTTTCAAAAAAGTTTCGAAAGGTGTCAGATAGCCGACGTCGAAAGTCATTTCGAAGTGATGAGATCCTCTCGCCTGTCACGAGCGTTTCCTCAAAAGACCTCGAGTGGTCTTGTGAAAAGGCCCACTCAAAACGGTTGATCAGTCGGCCAAAAAAAAAAAAAAAAGGGGCGATTCCAAGGGCTTTGCTCCACTACTCTCGACATGCACAAACGACAAAATTATGGTGAAGTATCTTTCCATGTTCTAGGCAAAGATTCAAATTCTTGTTTTTACACGCATAGTGAGCAGTGGAGCCAGGCCCTAGTGTGCATATATCGAAAGGCCTGGGTGTTTCGAAAGTCTGTGTGGCGAGGGGGGGGGGTTCTTTCGAACGGCGGGCTTTCGAATTTCACCTGGGGCACGGTCCCACTAGCAAAGGGGATTGGATTGAACGCCTGCATCTGGACGAGTTTTTGCAAAGGTGCAGAAAATTAAGATTGAACTGCTTTTCTGCATCTCTGCTGAAAACAAGCCCAGATTCAAGAGCTTTATCCAATTCTTTTCGCTAGTGGGACCTCACCCCTGACAACTTTCGAGAAATGCCTCAATCTGAAAGGTTGTGTGGTGAGCCGCTACAGATTTGGGCCTGGCTCCACTGCTCTCGACGCGTTTTTACAACAGTCAATCTTTACCAAGAACATGGAAAGATAGGGACTGGCTGTGACAAACTACTTTCTATTACCGTTCGATTTTCTGCATCAGGTTGCTGAGAGGAGGAAACGACAAGTCGAAGGGGTGAGCTGTGAGAAGCGGGGTTCGGTTGGGCAAGCTGCATGGATACCCTCCCTTCTTTTTCATTTTTGTTCGAATTCAATGGGCCAGCGCCGAGAAAGTCCCACGCCGACGATTGGATTACGGCGCCATGACAGGCACGAGAAATAACGGTACCATAGCTTCTTTCTTGTTCTGCTGTGAGCATTAGGAATTTTGGCGCGATTAGCACGCGGGGATTTTTCGTTTTTGAATTTTTAACTGATATCGAGCCCCCGCGGGCTCTCCGAATTGTTTTTCTTCTCGGAATTTTTTTTTGCAATTAGGACTTAGACTAGGAATTTAGGTGCTCTGAATTTTGTTGCGCCGCGTTCGCATGCATCTTGTGCCGCGAGGAACTGGATTCTGACGAAATCGCGTCTTTGATCTTGTGCAACTGTCATTTTTGACGGGCGCGATTGCAACTGTAATCCTTCTTCATTCTTCATTTTGCTTGCCTTCTTCCTTTTCCTTTCTCGTCTTGCATACTCTGTTCTAATTGGCCGAAACGCCTGCATGTCCGGAGCGATGCGTGGAGCGTAGCTATAACGCCCACGCCGCGGCCTGGCCATGCAGACGTAGGCCCTTCGTCTCTTCTATCCCTGTCCATCTGGGCTGAATCCCATACTTTTCGCACAGGCATGCATGCTATAAATTTCGCAAGCGTGATTAGTATCCTCTCTAAGAATTTCGAAGTTAGCGCGATCAGTGAGAGTCGGCTAACGAGCAAGTTCGAAGGTGAGTGAGTGTAAGAATTGGGCGATCCAACGAGTTGGTGCCAAGTATGCGGGGTTGACGTGTAGGCCACAACGGACTATGGCGCACAGACGAACCAAACGGCCGTATGCGGGCTAAGCAGGGTGACAACTCTATGTGGATACTCAGCGCGGACTACCGATATCGTGGATTTGTTATGGTTCTCGCATTTGGTCGAGTTAACGATCCGGTCCATTTCTTTTAACTGCATTGGGATAAGACGTGTGCAAATTTTCAGTATCGTGCAGACAATGACATAGTTCCCCCGAATATTTGTCGATCATTAGTTTTATTTTATTTTGACCGTATTTTGCAAGAGTTTAGAAAAAACATGTGTCAATTCTGCCTTTATTATCCAATGTCTGACAAGGAAACAATTGATAAGAACATAACGAGACATTACGAGAACCGAACGGTATCATTCATTCTAAACGAGAAGTTGTCGAATGATCCGATTCAAATGCGACACATATATGACTCTAATTTTCAACGTCTCGGTCACGCCAACGAGTGTTGCTGGAAACAATCGTTCGGACTGTGCAAGAGAAAATACCGTTGCATGTTTTTGCCGATGCACCAACTGGAACATGAAATATTTTTTGCATTGAAACGATTTTGGTGGGCATCTGGTCTCATTCTGCCATTGGACTGACTGTGGCATCCAGTGGCATAGTTACGACTCTTCTTACAGGGGGTCGAATGTTTCACTCACGATTTCACGCAACTTTAAAACCTAATAACACGCATCCCTTCTTAATTCCGAAACAAAGAGATCTTATAGAGTTTATCCGTCGTGTCGGCTAGATTGTTTGGGACGAGGCTCCGATGAGTAACAAGTTTCATTTGGAAGCTTTTGACATTACACTTTGGGACCTCTGTAACAATGATGAGCCGTTTGGTGAGAAAGTTCAACTTCTTGCTGGGGATTTTAGACATGTTTTGCTCGTTGTGAAAGACGTTTCGTGAGCTCAACAAATTGATGCGTCTATCAAAATGTCTCTTTTGTGGGAACGTTTTTAGGTTCATCAACTACTCAAAATATGTGAATCTTAAACCACCAGTCCCCCGCCGCCGAAAACCC